AGATTACTTTTTTTTTTTCCCCTGCGCTCACGTCTGCTGATATTGACAAGAGGAATGAGAGTGACTGAGGTTTGTTGTCCTCCGAGGTGTTAGGATTTAAGATCTGACGCAAGAATTATATGAAAACAGAGGCCATCTGGCCAATAAGATCATCCCAAATATCAGCCAGTCCTGGGCTGAGAAACATATTTATCTTTCTTCCTTCATACTCGACTCAACTCTGACGTTGGACTCCGCGTACACTGACCTGCTGTAACTCGAGATGTGCTTTTGGTTCCGTGGATAAACAGATCACAGATGTGTTCTGGTTTTGACAGCCAGCATTTAATTCTAAATCTACACCACAATTCTCTTGTCTGTTTTACAAAGATGATTGACTGTAATTGCTCTTGAGAAGCGAAAACAAAAAAAAACCCCATCACATCCAGCTGTGACCTGCACATTAGCCTCCTCGTGACAACAAAGCTGCAGCGAAGAGAGTTACACTCAGCGTGGTGACTTGAAGTTTGTCTGTTTTCATCGAGGATATACTTCTGCCGAGTGTGTTATATCAGAGGTGACTTTTGAAAGACATCTTTGGATATAAGCTGTGTAGCAGCAGGAAGTGTTGGAGTTTTTGTCTCATTGGATGAGCGACGGGCGCAAGGAAAACAAATAAGCGGCCGAAAGCCTAGCGCTCACGTCGGTGTTGTCTGCGTCGACAGTTACATTTTAACAAGGGCTGTCAAACGATTACAAGGCAGCTGCGGGTTGATCGCAATTAATCACAATTAATCACGATTGCTTAATCACAATTAGTTGTGACTGTGATAGCTGTGGGTTAGATGCAATTGATGACAATTAATCGTGATTATTTAATCACAATTAATCCAGAAAAATTAAAAATAAATTGATGGTGATATTAGGTGAGGGAGAATGCATTGAAGATTTTAATGTGATTAATTTTAATATTAATTAACAGTCATTTTAACAGCCCTAATTTAAACACAACTAATCATCCCTACTGTATGGAAGTATGGTAGTTTGGGGAGTTCAAATATTGTAAATGTTATGTATATTTTTTAGTGTATTTTTTTGCCTTTCCCATTATTCCACTACATGTTAAGGAAACCTGCGATTTTAGCGTTATTAGCGTGTTTTTGATTTGTGTTCCGACAGCACCCACCTGCAGTAATAACAGTGATCAACTACACACGTAGTCTGGTGGAAAACATGGTGTCAACAAATTACCATTCTGCAGTGCAGTGGCTGTTATTTCTGTGACAAAGGGTTTGGCCTCTGTGGGATCAATGGGAATTTAAAGCACATGTCAACCAGTAGGAGGAGAGACCCACGGACCAACGCACAAAATCCATGACCACACTGGTGCGATGGGCGAATGGAATCAATGAGCGTAGGATTTGATTAGGAGTCCAGATCAACACGAGTGTCCCGACGAGAAGCCGTGTCCCACCGTGTGTCTTCACACTGTCCTCTCCGTGGGTGTTTAACAGAAAGCAGACAACAGCTATAGGCTCTCTCTCTCTCTCTCTCTCCCTCCACACAATCAGCATACGATTAGTCATCCGCTCAAAACGGGGAAGAACAATGCGTTGGAACAAGAGGCTACGTGAGGTTTCAAAGCCCGGCAGTAATTACCTCCACCCTCACAAACGCAGGGTCTTCTGTGGAGGCGGCAGACTGCGGCACAGCTTTTATGTGAAAGTGAGGTTGGAGGTAATGATGGCGTAATTGTTTTTGATGATGGCTGTCTTTTCCCGACGTTACCTGCACAGGTCCACTAACTCCACATGTTTTTTTTAATGCGAGTCACGTTGAGGCTTTTTACGAGGTCATATGTTCCCGCATGTGAGTTAGATAAAAAAAAAATGTAAACGTGTTTGGGAAAGCGAGAGTCAGTCCACCAGGTTTATGGTGCGTGTCGGCTCAGGCTCCACCGAGCACACCGTGGTTTCTGGATGGTGAGCCAACCAGAAACCATCCTGGACTAGGAGCATTAAATCTGCCCTTCATCAGCCACTACACCTGCATCTCCCAGTGCCTGCCTTATTGAGCCAGACTAATCCTCTTCTCCTGCCCCACTTCTCGTTTTCAGAGAACTGCCGATGCTATGTTCTTTTGTTATAAAGTCTGCAGCTGAGCACGATGGGGAAAATGGTAGGACGGGGAGAAAGGTGTTTGCGGGAAAAGGCTGTGCAGTGACTGTGAACCAAAAAAAAGGTTTTTTTGAAAAATGTGATCTTTATATGCACAGTACCTATTGATGCCGGGGTTTATAGCTTGAGGATAATACGCGAGACAACCGGGTTCATATCCAGGTCGTCCTTTTACCAACCTGCTGTGGCTACAGCCGTTATTTGTGATGTTTCTAACAAGCTGAAAATAAGAGGAAACTGTTTCTTTTTCATCCCTCCTTCTTTACACTTTAACTCCTCTTTTCCTACTTTATTTGAGTGAAATTTGATTTGGATGCTTGTATTCTGGCTTTATAAGCTAACAAAGCGTGAACAACGCCCGCCCTGATTTGATTTATTGAACACAAGTTGGTATAATACTGTTTGCCATTCACTTGCTCGGCGATCGGGATAAAACATGCACTAAATTTTTATTCTTTCATATTTAGCAACTATGACCTTCTTGGATAGAAGTTAATTTTTTTAGCTATTTTCTATTTTGTGACTTGCTTTTATTTTATTAGTAATTCTATGGACTATAATTTTAATTTTATTTTTATTTTTTTTGCATTTGGCCAAATGACACATTTCTATGTGGCTCACCTCAATCCAACTATAAATATAACTATAAATTACCCATATTTTTTGGTCTGATTATAACATTTTAAGCCTCTCAGAGAAGTCTGAATATACTAACGCCAAACCTATTTGATATTTAGTTATTTGGGTTTTTTTGGTTTTCAAAATCTCCCTTGGATTTTCATTTTGACGACTAGATCCTCCTGTGTGGATAACTTTACAGCAG